TCTTGGTACTTGATTGGTGTATTAGTGTTTTATCACTGTCACTAACAAAATGTCACAACTTTATCAGCTTAAAACAGCACAAATTTACTAATCTTACAGTTTTGTGGGTCAGAAATCTGACGCAGGTTTCACTGAACTAAAATCAAGGTCTCAGCAGGCTGCACCCGCTTTTGGAGACTCTAGGGGAGTTGTTTCCTTGCTCATTCAGGTTGTTGGCAGAATTCAATTCCTTGCATTTGCAGAACTGAGGTCCCGTTTCTTTGCTGGGTATCAGCTGAGGCCCATTCCTGTCTTCCAGAGGCCACCTGCATTGCTTGGCTCATGGCCCCCTTCCTTCATCTTCAAAGCCAGCCATGACAGGTCAAGTCCTTTTCATACTTCACATCTCTTCTGGCTCTTCTTCCCTCATCTTATCTCTTTGACTCACTCATGTGTCTACCTCTTCTGCTTTGAAGGACTCATGTGATTAAATTGGGGCCGCCCACATAACCGGAAAGTCTACCCATCTCCAGGTCCTTAACCTTAATCACATCAGCGAAGTCCTTTTTACTACGTAAGATAAACACATTCACTGATTCCAGGGGTTAGGAGGTGGCCATTTTGGTGGTGGGTGGACATTATCCTATCTTTTACAATTGGTGTGGGGATGTGGGGATTAAGGGAGAATGTAGAATTCAGGTATTTTACTTCAGCAACCAGGTGGAATGCAGTTCTAGGGGAGGAAGATGAGTTTGGTTTTGAATATGCTAATTTCAAGGTGTACCTGGAAATCGAAATGGAACCATCTTAGTTAATAGTTGGATGCATCAGCCAAAAGGCAAAAGAGAAACTGAAGCAGATGATACAGATTAAGAAGTTGTCAACATATGGGTGTTGTGAACCCTTAGTAAAAGTGTAGACTGAGAATAGGGCTAAGAACAGAATCCTGGAAGTCAATAATATTTTAGGTTCAGCAGAGGAAGAGGCACTCACAGAAGAAACTGAAAACCAACCTACATGGTCTCGGTTCCTTTTGGCATGTCTCTTCCTTTATCCTCTATCTGACCTATTTTCTCCCCATTAACTTATTTTCTGCCTACTCATGGGTCTGCCTCCTAAAATGCCAGCTTGTACATTGCATACCTAGGGCTCGCCAGTCTGATTCTTCACTATGCATCTTTCAGCTTCAGCTTCCATTGCTAAACAGCCTCATTCGTTTAGTGGTTTTCAGTTTAAGGTAAAGCAAAGCAAAACAAAACAACAACAAAAACTTCTAAATACAGTGTGATTGACCCAGGTTGTCATGTGAGCCGTGCCATGACATAGGTCACCAGACTGAATTAGGACCAGAATCGACTCCACAGCAACAGGTTTGGTTTTTTTTTGGTTCTTAGGTCAGGTGCCTCTGTTGCTCCAGTCAGATGCTTCTCTGTTTCAGGGACTAGAATGAATCCAGTGTAATCGTTCAGCAAACCATTTTGTTCCACAGAGGTTTTCGGGGAAGAGGTTAACTTCAGCTCTGTTGTATTGGCTGGACCCAGGATTACGATGTCAAAATGGGCCTGTCTTTGCCATCTGCCCTTGCTTGAAGCCTCCCTCAGCCCTAACAGTGTCTGTGTGTAGGAGACCATTTTTTACAGAAATTGAGTTTGAGGTCCAAACCACAGGAATAATGTCATTGCAGGCGAAACTCAAATCAAATTTCCTCATTTTCTACATTGGCTTGGTAAGTTTATAAACATTATCCAGATGAGAGCTAGTTATGGAGATTCATAGGCCTTCCAGCCACTCACCATCCACACATTCTGTAGCTCTCAGCATCCATACACAGAAGGGAACTATGCTATGCACTGACCCTCACATCATGCCGAATGTGCAGCATCTCATCTCCTCCTAAAGACAGACCCTCTGGGCAGGATTGCAGCTTACATCTGTAGAGCAGAGAGGAGCAAAAAGGTACCATTATTACAGTTTGATGCTCTTCCTGGATTGCAGGAGGATTAGAATTTATATAGCCAGTCCAAACAAAGTCCTGTAAAATCTTCAGATTCCTTTGGTTTTCATTACACACAGATTAACAATCTTTCACAAGATCTCAATTTACTGAACCAAAGTATGATGGATGGACTCCAGGAAAGACAAGGCATCTCCAGGTCTAAACCAAATTCCTACGTGTCTAGCTTCAAAGAAGAGGCTCCACAGAGGATTGGGGGTGGCCTGGGTGAGTGGGCAAGGGTAAGTGATGACGTACTGCTGCTCTCCCGTGCCCTCTGCAGACATTCAGGCTGCACAGAGAGAGCAGCCCTGCCCGTATTTCCTGCTGAGAAACAGGGACTGGAAACAGGAAGGTACAGCGTTATCTGCACTGTAGTGGACACTGTTCATCCATTTCTCCACTGGACCCTCGCCAGGGTGTTCTCTAACAGTGATCCTTTGCAGCAGAGAGACATCCCTCCATGTTTGGCTGACTAGTGTTGAGCCCACTAGTGTTGTTTTAGTCAAGTCAAGTCACTCTGGTGGCGCAGTGGTTAAGTACTTTGCTGCTGAAAGATTCAAACCCACTAGCGGCTCCATGGGAGAAAAGACCTGGTGATCTGCTCTCATAAAGATTACAGCCTTGGAAGTCCTACTGGCCAGTTCTACTCTGTCCTATAGGGTCGCTACGAGTCAGAATCGACTTGATGGCACACAATAGTAACGCGTCACTGTCTATGAATGATTTCTTTGCAGTGATTAACTGCTTTGGGAGTGAATTAAGTCTTTTAAACAGTAGATCAGTTAAGCAGCTCTTCTCTGTTGACTAGGTTCAGTAAGAATGAGATGAGCAGAAAACATGAGAAGACCAGAGAAATCACAAGCCCTGGAAAGGGCTGTAGATGGAGATGATCTAGGATAGTCTGGTCACGGAAAAATGCAGAATGGAGGCCCACACAGGAGAGCTGTGAGGACGTGTGTGATGTGCAGCCTCAAACAACTGGCAGCCAGTAAGAACAAGGCAGCCAAACTAGTATTGTGATGATATTTTTAGTATTTAAAAAATGCAAAGGAAAGATAAAGGCAACTATTGTTGAGTGGAATGAATGAGATGAAGAGGCAGCCTCCAAAATAACTAAGGAACAAAATTCAACTGCTACTGTTACTAGCTGTGTATGCAGATAATTTTCCTCTTGGTCTTTGAATCAGAAAGATCTGAAGGACCACTACATTCTTATGTGGAACAGGTAGATCATATATTTCCTCTCCTTCTCTTCTTCTTCCTACCCCTTCCCACCTGCTCCTACTCTAGTCCCAAAAGAATCATACAGCGTAGCTCCAAAATGACTTATGTTCTTTGAACCTACCAGACATTGTTACACTTCTGTGACTTGGTACATGTTGTTTCCCAAACCTGTAATAGCCTCCTTCTCTATTTTGAAAACTCCAAACAACTCAATTATTTGGGGCCAGCTCAAGTTCATCTTCTTTATAAATCTTCTGGGACTCCCCAGATTGGGTAAATTGCCCCTTCATGATGTCTCACATATATTTGTTCTTGTACTTCTATTATATCACTTAACAAATTGTGTTTTAATCATATGGTGGAATAATACTCTGAAATATTATCTGACTCAGTTAATAACCGAGTGCTTAAAGAAGATGGAAATGTATTTTCTTCTCCTGTTTAGGAGCTCTGGAGGGAAGCAGTCTAGAGTAGTTAACGGCAGCTTTGCAATGCCATCATGAATCTTCTGCTTTGCATACTCAGCTCATAGCTTTCATTTCTGAGTTTACCTCATGTCCTACATGGCTTAGTAAGCTCCAGCCATCACATGCAAGTTCCAGGAAGGGGGAAGGGGAAAGATGATAAGTCTTCTCTAGGGGAATTTCTGCAAATCCCATACAACAATTTTACTTATATATCGTTGGCCAGAACTCAGGCATATGGCCACATCTCGTTGAAGGGAAATCTGAGAAGTGTAGTCCTAATGATAACAGCAGTGTGTCAAAAGAAAATAGTACCACAAGAAAGGAGAGGAGAATGAATACTGGAAGGCCACTTGCAATCACATTATCCGATATATTTTTCATTTCTGGTAATTGTTGATGTTTCCCATCTCTTTACTTACTGAAGCTGAGCAATCCATGACTTTAGGAAGCAGTTAAAACAAAGATCACATATAATGGGCTTAAAATATACAGTCATAATTCAGATATTCAGAAATGTAACCTTATCCATTTACTGAACTTGACTTGCCCACAAGCCCCTATTTCCATTTATGGCTAGAAAAAAAAAATCTTGTCAAGTAAAGATAACGTAGTCACTTCTGTTTTAAAATTGAATCTCTTTGGCGTAAAGTATTCAGTCACATTCAGGGCTGTTCCCTTCCCCTTTCTCCTGCCTTTTCACTAGGAGGTGGTCTGGTTACCTCAGGGTCTTTCTGCTGTTCTCTAGTTCTCTTGGACCTCTCATAGTTATATATCTGTCTCCCTTTCTATCTAGAAACCTCTTGGAGTCTGGGCATTGTTATAGCTGCTTTGCTCTCTTCTGGGCCTGTTATAGAAGTTGACACAGGAAACAGTTAAAAATGTGACCGATAAGTGTACTTTAAATATGTCATATAATTAATTCAAATGGCACTATAATGATCCAGAAATCCTCTAAAATTAAAAGTCTATTTCTCTAAAGCCCCTAGCACTATGTTTATAGCTTTCTTATGGTACTACTAATACTTGACTCTCGGTTATAGTGATTGGGGTACATGCCTTGCCCTTTCTGAGAGTGTCCAGTCCCTGAAGAGTGTTCCTGATTAGGTCATGGCAGAAAGCCTTGAACACAGTAGGCCTACAGTCATTGAAAATGAATGACTGAATAAATAGGGTCTGGCACTTTACAGTTTACCTCCAATGGATAACTCCTGCTCAGGAAGAAACAGAGTAGATTTTATTAGAGCTATTTAGAATGATATAAATAAAGACAGGTTGATATTTTGCCTTTGACTGAACTCTTCTTCCTAAAGAAAAAATATGCTTTTGTTTTTCAGAAATCCTCCACCTACTTTACTTCATCCAGAAGACTGGTGTGAGGAATTCAACCACTTTATTTCACAGTGAGTATTTCTTCCACTAAAATTGCTTACCCAGCAAGGTCTTGAACAGCGATTGGAGAAATCCAGGCTGTGGAATTTACTTGGCTCTTGAGGTTGTTATGCCTACTAACATGTTATGGCACAGGATTTGTTCCAATAAATGATAGAAGATGCCTCTTGCAGGATCTGAAAAATGAGTTCCATTTGACTTTTGGTTATAATCATTCCTCCTGATGATATGGGTCACATTTATCTGAGCATCTACTCTGGCTTGGGGCAAATATTACAACTTTTCTTGTTTGAGGGAGAAGGAGGAAGGAGTCTTAGCATCTAAAAATCCAATGTCCACACTGGGAACAGAGAAGAAACAGAAGGTTCAGTCTCTGACAGAGATTTTGAAGGCTGGAAGTTGAGCTTTGCTATAGGATCAGTGACGTGAGAGCAGGGCTCCAATTCCCAAGATGACTGAGGGAAAAAAGTAAGATCTCAGGCCTAGGGCACCAAGATGTGGAGACCTAGCCAGGGCTCAAGAGGGGAGGACAAGATGAAAACCCAGCTGATGACCTGGTGAGAGTGATGTCACCAGAAACTAGGCAAGACTTAATGGGGCCCAGACACAAGCAGAACCAACAGCAACACCAGCATGGCTGGCTCCATTCTGGGACTATGAGCATTTGACCTGGTCAGAGGACCACACTCGTCCCAAATCTGGGGGTGATGCTCAGTCTGCAGGAGGCAGCTCTGTAGCCCCAGGCTAGGGGACAGGAGAACTGTGGGGGCACGAATTAATACCAAGCCTTACAAACCACACTCAGATACAGGAGCTGGGAAGAGGTGCCCCAGAGTCTAGTCTATCAGAAAAGGTGTTCAGAGGTCATTGGGGTCGGGGGAGGAGAAAAGTACCCACAGTGGCTATAAACAAGAAATAGGGAAGGGTCAGCACAAATTTCTCTAACTTATGCATATGTTGTAGTCTTGGCTTCCACAAAGAGGCAGGGCAATGAACAAACTGGATTTCTTGGTCATCTTCCTTAATCAATCACAATACTCAGCAGCAATCCCTTATCCACAATTCCAAAATCTAAAGAGCTCTGAAAAATGAAAGATTTTTGACCTTGAGTCATTTAGCAGCAAAGCATAACCTTATGTGAACTCATTTGATGGCAACACATGATCTGAACCGAAGGGAGCCTATTTATAGTCATTATTTATCTTACTGAGTGTGAATATTCATGTATTTTGCTGCAGATATATTATTGTGCTTGATTACAGTGTACTGCCCCAGATCCTGTTGAAAATGTTACATAATATACAATAAATGCACTGATATTTACCTTTCTAAAATTTGATAAAGTCTGAATTCTAAAACATACTTGATCCCAGGGGTTTTATATAAAGAACTATGAACTTGATTTTTATTTTCATTTCAAACGTAACATGGTTTAGGCTCCCTGAAGTTGTTTGCTTGTCCAGTCCCTTCTGGGCCTGTGTCCTCATCTTCAGGAGGGAGGAGAAGTGAAGAGTTCAAAGAACTCTATCAAGAAAGGCCAACTTGGAACATGACCATGAAATTCAGGGCAAGGGAGTCAAGGACATTTCCTTGCCTCTCCAACCTCACTCTGACATTTCTGTGATGACTGCAGAATGTACTAGGAGCAGTCACAAGTCAAGAGTGGTGACAGTAGATGATAACTGAGAGGAACAACAGATACTTACAGGAGGGATGATGCCCACATACGAGCAGAGGAAGAGCTTCTTCTTGAGGTTTGAGAGCTAAAGGAGGAGAGCTAAAGACGCTGTGGTGACTTGGAAACACATTTCAGACCACCTAGGGAAAGAATCTGGGCACTGAGGTCCCAGTGGTTTTGGTGACAGAGGCAGCATTCAGAGATTTTTGCTTTTCATTCTATGGCTGCACACAGATGCCCTTGATTGACCTTCTCTAAACAGTTGGCCTAGAAAAACCCATTAGATATCCACAAATATGCCTTTCCTTATCAAGCTCTCCTAGTGCCTCTAAAATGTGACTTGACTTGCAAAAATTTGGCTTATGTATAGTTTCAAGAGTATGTTTGTGTCCTAAAACCAAGTACAGTCATGCACCGCATAATGTCTGTTTGGGCAGCGTCTGACCGCATATACGGCCATGGTCCCATACGGTTAAAATAGAGTTCAGAATTTCTGACTGGAGAACGGAATGTAGCAGATGTAACCAGACGTAGCGAGCACGACAGCTTTCCGCATGCAACATGTGTATCTCATCCCTCTTGTATACAAAGTGATTGTGCTGCTAGGTGTATGATGGTGGTACAGTACATGTATAACCTATAATACATATGTCTTGATAGTCATAATAAACGCCTTTGTTACTGGCTTATGTTTTTACTGTCCTGTACTTTCTATCATTATTGTAATGTGAACTTTACCTACTTACAGATTAAAAGTTTACCGTATAACCGTGTATGCTTCGACTCGTAGGCAGCAACATCCATCTTGTGTATCGCACATTTCTTGAGTGTTTTAGCATTATCTATGTTTAATTTTCTTTCTAAAATATTACCATGAAGTGCATCATGGCTCTCAAATGCAGCAAAACCAGTGCTAGTGATAGCAGCAGCAAGAGGCAAAGGAAAAGTATCGATCTGGAAGGGAAACAAAAGGTTATTAAACAACATGAAGATGGAAAATCAGTGAATTCTGTTGCTCAGGTTTTAGGCATGTTGCACTCAACAGTCACCACAATCCTCAAAAACAAAGTAAACATTCTGCAAGCTGTTAAAGGATTGGCGCCACTGAAAGCTACAAGGCTAACAAAAATGTGAGAGGGACCTGTATCAGATATGGAGAAATTGCTAAGGACGTGGATTGAAGACCAAACACAAAAGTGAATCCCTCACAGCATGCTGATGATCACTGCTAAGGCTAAAGCGTCTTTGAGATGCTTAAAGAAAAAGCAGGACCAGACTACGTATTGAGTTAAGCGCTGGCTCTGGGTGGTTCAGGCACGGCAAACACTGTTTCTCGCTGCGTAACATGAAAGTGACTGGTGAGTCTGTGAGTGCTGTTGCGAAGGCAGCAGCAGAATTTTTTTGAAACCTTAGATAAACTCATTGTCGAGGGAGGTTATTTGCCACAGCAAATTTTGAATATGGATGAAACCTCCTTATTCTGAAAGCAGATGCCTAAAAGGACCTTTATCCATAAGGAGGCCAAGTCAGTGCCAGTATCTTGGCTATTTAGTCAATGCAGGTACACTCCAGTATCCCATATAGCTTTGCTAAGTATATAATATAGTGTTTGCACAACGTCCAAATCACATAATGTCTTATTTCAAAGAATGTATCATGGATGTTAAGTGACATATGACTGTAGAGTATTGCTTAGATGGATTTGGGAATAAAGGCATACAATTGGTAGGAGCATTAGGACTTTTAGGGTTACACATAGTATAGAAAATTCTCTCTACCTTTTATTTCTCTTATGGCAAATATGATTATAGGCAGATTGCAATCTGTGTATTTTTTCCCTAACTTTGAGAATTCTAAATGCACTAATTCTGAGTTCCTTTAGATTTAGAAAGGCCTTGAATACTAACAACAAAAACCACCATAAAACCCAAACCAGTTATCAACAAGCTGACTCCAACTCATGGCGATCCCACGTGTGTCAGAGTAGAACTGTGCTCTGTAGGGTTTTCAATGGTTGATTTTTTCAAAAGTAGATCGCCAGGCCTTTCTTCCAAGATGCCTCTGGATAGGTTAGCAGCTGAGAGCTTAACTGATTGCACCACAGAAAACAATGCCTTTGAGTATGCATATTATTGGGAGCAAAGCAAAGTGGATTTATAAGCATTTTGTTGAAACTGAAGGGAGGGAGAGTCTGAAAAGTTTCTAATGAACCAAGGAAGGTAAATAGAAATTGATTGTGTGCTTTATTACTAATTTAAAATATGAAAAAATTTCATCAATCTTCTCTTTGTTTAATGAGTTGTCCTTATTGTTTTATATTAGTGACTCTAGTATGTATTACAGGCATTCATAGTTTTTTTTTCTGCCCTCAGACCCCTGATCCTATTTTCCCATAATATCTCAACCAAGAATTCTCCTGTTTTTTTTTTTTTTTATTGTACTTCAGGTGAAGGCTTACAGAACGAATAGTATCTCATGAAACAGTAGTACACATATTGTTTTATGACATTGGTTAACAACCCCACAACATATTAACCCTCTAACTTCTCAACCTTTTTTTTTTTTTTTTTGGTGAAAATACACATAGCCAAAGATAGACCATTTCAAAAATTGCTACATGCATAGTTCAGTGACATTGACTACGCTCTTCC